TTTTGGCCACTTGGTGCAAGCTTGAGCTTCTGCGTTTCCTGTTCTTTGTTCTCCAGCAGCAGCAACGTTCCCGGCGACAGAAAGCAGCACAGAACCATTGAACCGTGCCATCCATCACCCTGAACACCTCTACCACACCGTCACAGCACCCACATCGACAATACTCTGCGACTGCACCGACAACCCATCTCCATCTACTCCTCTCCTCCGCCTCATTCGCACCTGCTCTCGTAGCGAGCACCAAGTCACAGACAGGTTTGGCAGGTGGACTTGGGCACATCTCCCTTCCTTAAGCGCTGCTGTCTGCTACCGCAAAGACCACCTCTTTCACTCAGTCATTCGTTCTTCACGACACCAACCCATTATCCGCCTCAACAATCCTCCGCTGCACATCAGCACCTCCTTCATATCACACCTGCTACCTACTCCTGCTCTCCGCCAGACTTGTTCCGGCGCTGCGCTAGCACTCTCTCACCGGCCACCTCTTCTTCACCACCACTCCACCTCCCGCATAATCTCGCGTCTCTTTCGCACAAGCCAATCTTCCTTGCACGACAACCCCCGACCGTCCTTCCAGCAAGTTTTCTTTCGGCACCAGCACAACCCCGCTGTACGTAACGGAAGAAATACATCAAGACTCTCACAAAACTATCACAAGACCAGAGTTGCTCCTCGTGACAACTCTCTGTAACCTCTCAAACCCCTCAACTCTTGATAAAATCTACAATGTCTGCCTCTCCAGCTCCAGCGACCGCCCCTTCGCAGAAGCGCCCTTTGGAGGAGCCATCCTCCCCTACTGGACCCAACGACCTCCCGGACGCGAAGCGCCCAGCACTCGACAAGACCAAAGCAGAAGAGAATGCGGATACTGCTGCTGCCACTCAACCTGCCGACACCGACGATGCCCCTGTGAAGTCTGAGATTCCCACCTCTGATGCTCCTGCCACTACCAACGGCACTACGGATGGCCAGGGCGACACGGTTGTCCACGACGCTCCGCCTGCCGGCATGCCCACCGCCGCTCAGGTTCTCGAGACGCAACCAATTCAGTCTACTGCGGCAACCAATGGTGCCGATGCTGGCCAGACTCAGAGCTACCAACAGCAGGATGAGAGCCAGTGGCTACACGTTAGAGCAATCATCTCCAGTGCTGAAGCTGCTACGGTGATTGGAAAAGGAGGAGAGAACGTCACTCAGATCCGTCGCATGAGCGGAGCCAAGTGCACTGTTAGCGAGTACACCAGAGGCGCCGCGGAGCGTATTTTGACCGTCAGCGGTCTGGTAGATGCGGTTGCCAAGGTAAGCCATCCTCATATTTCATCTTTCAGCGATCGTGCTAACCTTGCCAGGCCTTCGGTTTGATCATCCGTACTCTGAACAACGAGCAGCTTGAAGCTCCATCCACCCCACAGTCAAAGACATATCCACTCCGTCTCTTGATCCCACACGTCCTCATCGGATCAATCATCGGAAAGTCAGGTGTGCGCATTCGCGAAATTCAGGAAGCTTCCGGCGCCCGTCTCAACGCTTCGGATTCTGTTCTCCCCTCTCGACAGAGCGCTCTCTTGTCGTCCTGGGTGTCGCAGATGCCGTTCACATTGCCACATACTACGTTGGAAGCACGCTTGTCGAGCAGCTCACTGAGCGCTTTGGAGGTCCTGCAGCTTCCGCGTATGCGACGCGTACCGGTGGTCCTGCAGGCGCCGGGCCTGGTGGCCTGCAAGTTGTGCCATATGTTCCTCATCCAGTTGGTGGTCAGTGGGGCCATCCGGATCGGTACCAGGGCCGCAACCAGCCACCCCGATCGGGTCCAGGCGGGCACAACTACGCAATGCAGCCAGCTTATGCTCAACATCCTCAGCAGCATCCGCAAGCACCAATCCACTACGCCGCTGCCGGTTCACCACGCCAGCCTTATGCCGGAGCCGGTCCACACCAACCTACGCCTTACGTCGGACACGCTGCGCAACCAGCTGCGGGCCACGCGGGTCCACCACAGCAGCCAATCCAGGCCATGCCCGGCCAGCCTCTGACCCAGCAGATTTTCATCCCGAACGACATGGTCGGAGCAATCATCGGAAAGGGTGGTGCAAAGATCAACGAGATCCGCCAGCTCAGCGGCAGTGTGATCAAGATCAACGAGCCTCAAGACAACAGCAACGAGCGTCTTGTCACGATCACCGGTACACAGGAGTGCAACCAGATGGCATTGTTTATGCTGTACTCTCGGCTGGGTGAGTTTAACAAAAACTCCAACATGACCATGCCAAGATAGACGATGCGACGCAGCCCTTTTTGCGGGCACGCCCCACGATGATTGCAAGCAATCATACGTGTTGCTCTCTGTCGCCTCTGTGGGCTGGCGCATTATCGGGTTTGACCAGCTAACGGCTCGTGCAGGCCAGGTACAAGCGGGTCAGAAATAGTGTGGCAGCCGGTCTGCTGCTCTCACCGTGATACTGTCGGCGTTACTTGGTGGAGAACAGTGGGAAGGGTAAAAAGCTTGAGGAATGTACTTTTATCTTCGGCATCTTGGCTTTGACCAGTGCTGCAGGTATGCGTTGCCGGATCGGTGCGCTGCCTTCATTCCAGTGGCTCGGCAATCTCATGTATCACACTTCTCAGGAAAGTTTGCGCTTCACAGACGAATTCAGACGTTGCTCGATGCAAGACTTGGCGTCAAACGTCTATGCCGATAGCTAGGAGCTGTCAAACGCTCTTTGACGCGTCCTTGCCAGTGTGGACGATGGATCAAGCAAAGCAGGTAGGTACCAAACGCGCCACAGAGCCAAGCGCGCTTTTTCTTTGTCTGCGAATTTCATGTCTGAGACCTTCCGCTCCCGGCAATCTGCATCAAACATCCGCTTTCAGTGAAGCAACAACCTGCACGCATGCGACGGTAAGTCCAAACCCCCATGTTTTCATATTCCACGCGATCCCAAGAAGGTACACAATTTTCTTTCCATACTCTCGCCCATTGGTATTCGAGTCGGGAACGCGAATTGGTATAGACCCGTCTCGACCGTGCAGACACTCCGCCTGCGGTTGTTTCCGCATCATACATATACGACCTCAACCATCCATCCAGGGGAACGTCACATGGTTCTTCATTTCCGCTCCAGCACCATCCTACCCTGCACAGCCATGAGCGAAGCATCGAACCCGTCGCCCGCCTCATCCGACATCAGCATGTCGTCCGCCTTGTCGCCCACCGCTCCCCAACATCAGCAACATCGACAAGCCCCCACAGCCCTGCACCCCGCGCCCTTCAACATGCGCACTAGCTTCAAAGACTTTCACACCTTTGCGACCGTCATCGTCGGCACACCAGGCTGCAAAAGCGCGCCTCAGACGGAATTCCGCCTGCACAAGGAAGTGCTGACGCGCGCGAGCCCGTTCTTCGCGGCGGCGCTGAACGGCGCGTTCGCCGAGGGGATGGACCAGACGGTCAAGCTGCCGGAGGAGAAACCGGACATCTTCGAGTGGTTCGTGCAGTGGCTGTACAGCGGGACTCTGACCACGCCCGCCGCGGGCACCAACTGCACCTCGAGTCCCGCCACGCCGAGCCCGAATCCACTGGCCCTGCTGCACACGCCCACCGGCGCGCCCATCCACCCGTACTGTCACCACCACCACCACCCGAACAACCCACTAACGTGCAACACCACGGCCGCGACGCACCACGACGGCGACCTGCGCAACGCAGCCGGAAGCCCAAAATACTTCCTCCTACTCGACCTGTACGCGCTCTCCGACCGACTGCTAACGACGCGCCTAAGCAACCACATCCTGGACACGCTAGCGCGGCTCTCGGAAGCGACAAACTCGGTGCCCACGCCGAGCGACACCTGGATCCTGTACGACAGCATCCGCGACTCGGCGCCCGTGCGCCGGCTCGTGCTCGACCTCTTCGCGTACAAGAAGACGGACAAGCTGCTCGAGAGCCACCGCGACGAGTGGCACCCGCGCTTCCTGCGCGAGCTCGTCGTCAAGTTGAAGAGGCCGGGGCCGGAGAGCTTGGATCGCCATGCGCTGACTGCGTGGCGGCCCGGCAGTTGGCCCGCCGCCAGGGCGTGCGAGGGGTGTAGGGAGCTGGTTAAGCCTGGGGTGCAGGGGAGAGGTGTGAGGTCTGCGAGAGGGCGTTTTGTGCGGGTTGTGTGCGGGCGGGGAGGGTGGGGGGCTGGGTGGGGAGGTGGGCGCTTGTAAACCTTGGTTGAGGGGGCTGTGTTTGAGATATCATGAGCATGAGGGCGAGGGAAGGTGACTAGGATGCGTGAAGAGGCCGGTGTTGGGGAGGGGTGGGAGGGTCGTGGCGTTTGATGTTGTGTTTGATGCTTGATGGGTCGGTGGTTGTTTCTGTTGATTGCATCCTGTGGAGTCTGAGAATGGTTTTGTGGTCATAGAGTATGCTTGCTTCCCATTCCCATGCTATCTCGATGACCATCTTGGAGACTTTGGTGGACCGCGTTTTCCTGGCGGTACAGTGCGCTCTCAGGAGCTTGTTTGTATTGCGTGCTTTCAATGTCGGAGAAAGATCGAGAGAACATGGTCCAAGCACCTCGCCCGCATCAACAGGGCTCCCGACGAGTATGTTAAAGGTGAGAATCTCACTCCGTATGCTCAAAGAATCACCTCCTGTCTAAGAGTTGGGTTTCCTTCTTCAACAAAACAGTCAACAAGACCTTCCAGTCATAGTTGCAAGGCGACAGCAATACTCGTTCTTTCTTCACGCACGCAGACAATCTGGGTAACAGCTGTGTAAGCAGAAAGGAAGGGTTTCAGCCCATCACGTGTCATCAAACGCAGAGCTTAGGGCCTCCGGGAAACAACTCATGGCATCACTAGGGGAATGCTACAAAGAGAGGCTATAGAAAGAGCAGAGAACAAAGAACAAAGAATGGAGAATAAGTAACGAAGAATAGAGAGATGACACAAGACAAGAGGTTAACGGGGAGCAAAAGTAGTACGTCGTAGACAAGATTCGTATCGCAAAAAGGATGCGTCGTGAACAGGATTCGAACCTGCGCGCCCTGAGGCAACAGATCGCTGAAGGGTATTCAAGTCTGTCTCGTTAACCACTCCGACATCACGACCGACAGATGGCCATTTTGGAGTTTTTAGTAAAATATATACAGCAAACAACACGTCATTCACGCTGCATTGCGATTACTAAACGGCCAGGCCAATTGCAGGCCAGTAATAGTCACTAGAAAGCGAAACAAACTGGGTCTAACATTATCATCAAAATTCACGCGCATGTACTATCACACTAGTCCACGGACTATCACATAGAGCTTCTGAGTAAGAGAGGTAGCATACATCTAACTTTGCTTGCTAGATGGACTCCGCCGTGTACCTGCCAATTCAACCAAATCCTCAGATGAGCTCCTTGGCAACCCCTCCGCAATCCAGCCAGCGCAGGCCAGATTAACGATGGGATCGCTTACTCGAAAGAGCACTGGCAGGATACTGCCAAGCGTCCGCGTGGGTTAAGCCACGCACAATCCCGTAAAGGATTGATCAGGTAGTGTGGAAACCTCGACTGCCTAAGTCTTCTTCTTCTTCGGACCGCAATTCGGTCGGGCCTTGCCAGCTGCAACGTACGCATCTTTGCACGTTTGGTTTTCAGGTTTTGCACGGTGCGCCCAGTAAGTCCCGCTGTTCCAGAAGCCTCTGTTGCAACCAATACACTGCACAGTTCCTTCGGACCACCACACCTTGCTCGGTTGGTCACCATGCTCAGTAAAGACATTGAGGCGATTTGATGGAGTGGGGTCGAACTGGGTTCGTTGCTTCGTAGCGTACTCCCACAGTGACATGGCAGTCATGCTCCGCTCAAGGGGACCGGCGAATTTTGTCGCATGTCGAACATACATGCTGTCCACACCATTCTGAGAGGTGGCCCAAGTAAGCGAGACTGTGATGCGGTGAGCATCTTCGTACTGGGTTGTGTTGGCATCGATGTTTGCCCAGTTTTGGGGATGACCGTCTTCATGCATCTCCAGCGTTGCGGTTACCACTGGTGAGTTTGAATCAAGAGTGCTGAACATACGTTCATGCTGCTCTTTCGGAACGATTATAGACAGCTTGTCGGTGGCATGCAACGTGCAACTCCGTCCTTTCCGACCCTTTTCTTTAAACCAGCTTTCAATGGCAAAGGGAGTTCCTGTTGGAAGCTTGAATATAACGCGGCCTCGACGAAATCCAAGCATGGGTACGCTGCAGTTCGTACCAACGGCTCCCAGTGCCTGCTCCATGATTTGACGAGGACTCATGGCGTCGGGAAGGCCTCTGTACATCCTATAAGAATTGAGGAGATCAGAGGGGAGGATCTTTGCAAATTCAAGCTCTGGAGGCAATGTGACATCAGACTTGAATGCTCCGAGCAGATATGCAAATGCGGTCTCGAGCATCGTGCATGGCAGGCTCCCGTACCTGGCGGTGAAAGCCATCTGCCAGGTGCAGATGATGCCGTCTTCGACGCTTACGGTCTCGGCCTGATTCCACAGGCTGTACAGATACTTGCTTTCTTTGCTCCTGTACACAGGATCATGATGCTGGTCCAAACGTACAACAATGTCGTTGGAAAAGGCGCTGCTCGAGCCAACATACACGTGAACATATTGACCATGTACGCGATTGAGCATGATGAAATAGACTCCTTGCAAACCTTTGGCGTCTTTGCGTGACTTCAGAGTCTTACGAAAGTCGTGCATGGAGAAGGGTTGCCCAGAACTCAGGATTACTACTGTACCAGAATTCATGCTTGCGATAGCATGTTTCACAAGTTCATCTACTGCAAGGGCCTTCATGGATAGTTTTGCTTCGTCATCGCCGAAGTCTTCCATGAAAGCATACAGCTTGACAAGAATCTGGGTGAGAGATTCTTGGAATGAGTTACCGCCGTTTTTGGTCAGAAACGGAGGAGAAACGAGCATGTCGGTGGGAGCAGGCGGGAGCACTGGACCCATGACGGGAGACTTAACATTCGGAGACACGCCGAGTTGTGAAATCTCAACATCGTCTTCAGAACGCCAGTCATAGTCACACGAAGACTCTGCTCGGAGTGGAGCCAACGTTGCAGCAGCGGCAGAATATTCGGAATCCCAGCCGTAATCGTCAGAATCAGTGGCTACAAGCTTTGCAGCGTCAGCGTCGTCCTCGGAATCCCAGCCATAGGTACTGGAGGCTCCTAAGGAGGGCTGAAGCTCGTGAGAGCGCGGGATTGTGCTGCGACTGGACGACACAAAATCGTGGGTGCGCTCGAAGGCGGAGGGGAGCGCACGAGAGTGCGGGATGGTGCTGCCGCTAGAGGGCGCAAGCACGGGAACGCGCTCAGATGTGCTGCCGTATACAGGCGCAAGGGTATCTAGACGCTTCAAGGGGCTGCCGTATACAGGCGCTGTCCGGTTATGCGAAGCAACACCGACAAGAGATGAAGAGCTAGTGCCAGAGGCACGCGGCTTCTTCGCGTCCATTTGGTTCTGGACGGGGGCTTTGCGCTTCTTTCCAGAAGTCGCCATCTCACGAGAAGCAAGCACAGAGGAATTGCTAGAAGACATTTTTTCTTGAGTACGAAAGATTGGAATATAGTCACCGTTTGTGTGCGTGTGTGCTGTGCTGTGCTGTGCTGTGCTGTTCTTAGTCAAGTAGAGATGGAAAAGAGGAAAGATCGAGGTCCCAAATTCGACAAAGTCGCTTACTCGTCATGTCGTAAGCGGAGTATAGTATCAGTATGCATGGCATCAGTATGCATGGCATCAGTATGCATGGCATCAGTATGCATGGCAGATGCAGCGGGGCGGTGCTCTTGCAATGTTCAACCTAGCCGTGTAGACGCTCGAGGTCATAGGCAACTACGCAGCTCTGAAGTCTCACTTACCTATCTGACTCCATTGCGACGACGGAGCACGTCCAACTGCTCGAACATCATTCCTCCAGCTGCTCGAACATCATTCCTCCAGGTCACAACGACGAGCCCGTCTCGACGCTTAGTCCGAAGTCAAACTCTCAAGCGTTGCAGCTCAGAGTGCTCTTGCCAGTTTTGCAGCTTCGCGTTTGTCGGACTACAATGTCCCCGTCCCAGAGCCGCGCAAAGAAAGACCGCTAATACTATACCAGCAGACAACCTGTTAAATCATCCTCTTACGCCTGCACGACTCTTCGAGACTGGAGTATCGACGACTGGTTCTTGACGTACGCTGCCACAGTCTTGAACCTTGGAGGCCAAACCACTTGTTCGGTCTGAAATGAATCCGCCCATCGTACAGCTTACTGAACGTCAGCAACAGACGCTCGCACCGACCGAGTCTCTTTCAGCATTATTCTGCAAGGATATATAGAAAGAGGTGGAAGGATATCATAATTCCTCCCAAGGAGCACCGTCATCTCTACAATGCGGAGGATCTGGAGGTGCAGCCGGAGCAAAAATGCGTGTCGACATCCTGGGGATTGGTGGAGATTGCAGCGTCACTCGAACGCTCGGAAAACAACTCCTCCAACTTGACACGGTCCGAGTCCCGTCGACCTGCGTGGTTCAATCAACCGAAAGCGCAGCTCTGAGCAACGTCCACAGGTGAAAAGACGGTGAAGAGAAGGGCGGACTGGCGTGCTGGTGGATTTGCACACCCCGGCGCCTGGCAAGCTTGGCTCACAGGCTGCACATTGCTTTTGTTACGCAGAATGTTTCGAGCTTATCTGCACGTCGTAGCATAAGAGTGGCGAACACAATTTGTCCTCCCATACAACCATGCGTCGTATTCGTCTCATCATTGCACACATGACGGTACGGCATCCGCACCAGAATATCAGCCGTTCTACATTTTGCGCAAACTCAAGCGCTTCGCGAAGATTCAGTTACCAGACGATCTTGCAGCGTTCGCTGCACGTACAATATTACCTAGTTGCGACAGTAGCATATGCAGACCCTTCGCGGAACCTACAAGATGACAGGTTAGTGCACCCAGTTTGTGCTATACATCTGTTCAGTCTGTCCGAAATCGTGAGAGCGCGATCATCACTATACGTCAAATTAGAGCCATGCCAATTATCTTAGACGCTTCTACTTGCGACTCGACACCAAGGAGAGCCAGCATCAGCCTCATGCAAGTTACTGAGGCGTACCTAATGAAGTTAACGCGTGCAAATAACTTCCTTGATGTGAACCCTTTGGCACTACTGACGTAGCAAAGAGCTGCAATTGGGTACAACGTCGTGGACCTGTAAGCACAGTACGAGCGTTACGCCTACAAATCAGGATAGGGTACGTATACATGCGAATCTGGTACCCTATGCTCACGCCAGACTCCCCGGGAAGTTAGTTTCACTTGGGAGGGAAGGCCATGACAGTTGATGATATCTGAACATGGTGTTGAGACCAACCAAACCCCTTCTCCCCACCTTTACAGCGAAACCGCGGTTACGAACACAACCGGAGACAGGCTTACACCGATACGGCATAGGGATGCGAAGGCCGCAAGACATCCATATACATAACCACGACCACAGTTTAGGGGCGTTAACACTGCAAGACTGCTCCTTGGCGACCGTTAAGCATCGTCTATCCGACCGACGTAGCACACTCTCCCACAGTTGACTATGTTGCATGTGCCGGGCCTATCTCCGGCTGAGACTGACTGCATGTCGGTGCCGCCAAGCCGGAGGGTACATTGCGGTGGACCAATCACCAAATGGTCCGGTTAGCCATGAGTCCATCCGTCGATGTGTTGTGGATTATGACAAATGCAGAACCGGTCGACTGGCTGGTGTTCTAAGGGTATAGCCTCTCAAAATCTCGTATAGTTTGGCTTCCACTACGATACAGAATTGCAGTACATTGTTGATGGTCTGACGGGGCACCTAGACCCACCTGGGAAACTCGGCGGCAACACGCCTGTGTACATGTGGTTTCGTAAGTTTCGGAACATGACCGATGCATGTGAGAGCAAGCACAGGGCCAATGCGGTACCCCTCTTCTTGAAAAACTTTTCGTCCCTTCCTTTTCTTCCTCTTCCCCAAGACCATCACCAACACCACCGACAACGTCAAGTCCAAGATCCAAGACAAGAAGGGAGTCCCACCAGACCAACAACGC